ATGGTTGAGTAAACTCGCGAGTATATTACGCTGTAGAGAAGTGAGGTTGATTTTCAGTCGCGAAGCCAGAGTGGATCGAGCTGGAGGTGAGAACATCGCTCCTCAAACCTGTTTTGCTTTGGTGGCTATGTATGATGGTGTAGTACTCTGAAGTGGGTCGCACTATATGTTTTAATGACTCAAGTCGTGTTTGGGATTGTGAAAATGACCTAGTAATGTAGGTTGTTCGTTGCTTCGATTTCGCTACCTGATGTAGGATGTGTTCGGAGAAGTTGAGGCTGTTAGCGATCTCGAATTCCCAGGTCTTGAACGAAATACGCAGTTAGGATGGGGGTGCCAGTGAGAGTGATGGATCCTTCTGGCATACTGCATCTGTGGTAGAGTATCTGAGATGTGTCTGCAGAAAACCTCATTGACCTGCTTTCGTTCCATTTGTTTAGGGGTAATAAATCCTCGCGTATATTTTTTAGGCATAGATCCAGATGCTCAGGTAGGAATGAGTACACTAGTTTGATGTCATCCTCAAATGTTAGTAGGCACCCGTGTCTAATGTATTCACATATAACGTTTATGTAAATGAGGAAAAGCAACGGGCCCAATACACTGCCCTGAACAACCCCGGTCGTGACATTCCTGGAAATAGAACAATATTGGCCAGGCTGTACTCTTTGTGTTGGGCTGTTAACATATGGTTCGAACCAGCTCAAGAGAGGGTTGTTAATTCCATAGGAATACAGCACGACCAACAATGGTTTGTGCGGTACAAAGTGAAACGCTTTTTGCATATCTAGAAGAATGATGATGATGATGACCATGTTATCATCTGAGGTTGCTGTAACGTGATCGAGGAATTGTAATTGGCATGTGACACAAGAACGTTTTGTGCTGAACCCATCTTGGAAGATAGATATATTCAATCAGTGCATGGTGCTCCAGTCTCTCAATTTTCACCAAATTGTAGATCTTGTTCACTTCAACAATCTACTGGAGTGAAAGTAAAGATGTAGAAATATGACTGTGTATGCCATAAATAAGGAACGGTGGTAGCTTATTAAAAGCTACTTGACTTGCCTGGTTAACAGCTTTCTGTGTCAGGTTCAAGAGCTTCATTTATCTTACTTACTGCAGAGAATCATATGTAGCGCCGCTTTCCAAATTCGTCAATTCTGGGAGTTGTGAACATCCACGGAATTGTTTTTCACCGTTTGCTTGCTCTGTCTGACAGAGATTCAGTCTGGACTCAAGCGGAGATTCCTACATCTTTAAGTCTTTACAGCGATCAGTCTCATTAACAACGGCTATATCTCATACTGTCGTACAATGTACATTCTTAACAATAACTTGCACCCTTAGCTTAGATGAACCATTTCATCACACCATGAACCGTAAGAAGGTTAAGTTAACTCTACTTTCCGCAGAATTAGCAATCACAGATTAGAAGAAGTTGGCTATGGAAGCAGTTCAACTGTGGTACTGTGCTACAACCCACCAGGTGTGTTGCGCGATTACAGCTTAATGAAAACAGTTTCGTTCGTATATGTATCTACTTTAAAACACCGTAGAGCGAAGCACGTGCGTGTCCATTATTGCATTGAATTCGATCACGCTTATGGTGCGGAAATAAGTTCAGTGTGTTTATAACCATAATGTTCGGAAGCCCTAAAAGCGGTTGTAGCGAATAACATGGACCTCCGTTTTCAACTGGCATGTAACCACAATTTGATCAACCTACCGTCCCCTGATTCCATCAAATGATCGCCGCAGACAGCCCAAAACTCAAGCTCACTATTGAACTCTAGTGAAGTGCTAGATAGGACAGGCGCAGTTCATTCCTTGGAAAAGCTATTGTCTCTTGGATCTCTTGTGACTACTATGACATTTCTGTTGGCATGCATAACCGAACCCCTGTGTTCTAATTGCGGGACTAGCGAGGGTTGGATTCGTGAAATGCGGTAATTGGCTCTAGTGGTCACCATTCCTCATCCCTCGTAAAGATCTGTGGGTTTATCACTACTTTTCTGAACCACATCTGCTCAGTTCAGTTAAATACTGATGATTCGGGCAACAATGTGCGTTGTACCCAGTTACCACAACTCACATCATCACAATGACAATATAAGAAATCAAGCTGGAGGCAACTAGAATACAACGAAACCGAAATCGAGACAGTAGTGCCCGAAACTAATCGAAACGGAAAGTTAACAGCTCGACGTATGAAACCGAATACATGAACACCTTTGATCGCAGGAATGCGACATGTCTGGTAGGGTCTCCAATCGCTGGTGAGGAACATCCCGGTGCCCCCCCCCCACGAAGACGGTATGCACCAGCCTAACCGATTCCTTCGGTCAGTTTCTGTGTGCCTCTGTTCCACGTCACGGACTGGTCACCTCTCTGTTTCGCACAGCTAAGTGCAACCACGGCCTATACCACACGCCCAGAAAGTCGGTCAACGGGAATACGGAGAACATGAGCTAGGCAACACGTACATTTAAGATTCAGCAAACACCCGAGTTAGGATTAGAAGGCATCTTGCCAAAACCTAACTGAGGTAACTCAGTATAACTCAACCGGTGTTCCCATCAGACTTGAGCAATCCTCTGGAAGCACCTGGGATCAGACACGATAAAACGTTTAATGAATTCATTGCGAACTGGCCAGGTCTCTCATTCATACAATAAGACCGGTCTTATATCGCAGCTATTCTCACCACACCTTTTACTGACAGGTTGATATCCCGCCATCTCTATTGATGTTTGGGCCTCCGGAAAGTTACAGCTACTTTGCTGTTACGAGAAGTAACTTCTACAGTGATGTGACCACCTGCGGTGACAGAGCTACCAAAGTAAAGTGAATCGATTCGCCACTTTTATTGGCTGCTCGCTGGTAGTTAGAACCGGTGGCGTATCGATTCAGCCCAGTAACAACACTTTGCACTTCCTATATGCGAAGCACATGCAAAACCGTGCAGCGTTACGCGTCAGGACAATTTCCCATTGCCTTTTTGTGTTAAGCATAATAATGATGATGATAATAATATTATTATTGTTACAGATGGTGCGCGTTATCCATTCGCCTTCGAGGTTAATTATTTTGTACAGAGGCACCATCTGTTTATTACCAAGCAAACTTGACTACTTCACCCAACGACGCCTCACATTTGTGGTACTCGGCCGAGGACAAGGGTGGTCGATTACATCACCTCTCCGTCGGTTGAAGATTACTGGCCCACCTGGTTAGGAATGAATGGCGTTTAGTTTTGTTACATAGTAGTTTGTCTAGATTGACAGAATCTTTCACCGGAATATCAAGCTCATCATGGACCGAGTGCATGGCTTTGGCCACGTCTTAATTGGATTCGGCCCACTGTGAAGCTGTCTATTTTTCATTTAATGGAACATGTATGGTTACCCATCGTCTACTTTGGCACCAATTACTCGGCAATATCACACCCGACTGGGATAAACCTCAGAGTATACATGGATGTAAGCGTAAACATGAATGAGGAACTAGGCCAACAGCAAACAAACAGGTTGGGTCTCACCGTGTTCTTGGATAAGAGCCTCTTGATCAAGCACAAAAGTTAAAGACTTGTTCCGATGGGAACAGTCAAGTGACCAACACGGTCCTTGTATTTGGTCTCTTGATCCCGGCCGATAGTCCTTCTATGCAACAAGCACCACTAGTTTCTTTGCTAGTTTTCCATTAAATTTTTCAGTTTCTCTGTATTTTACCCTGTTTTGTCATCGTCTTTGTTAGTTAGTATTCGTATGAAGGTGCGGTTGCAAAAACGGAATCCAACGCACTTCAGTGCTCCGATACTGATGGACAAGACAAAATCGCTCTTTTCGCTAAAATATTCAGGAGGTTCATACACGCGTTACTCTGGCATAAATATAATGCACTTATATACCTGAGCACAGAAACTATCCATACCAGAAGCTGCGGAATCGAATCCCATTTACTCCCACTCTATTACCGATTAGCTTCAGCACACGTTTTGTTTTCTATTGCGCATCTTATAATCGATGCGTGTTTTGCAGCTGGGATAGACTTGGTTAACACTCCGATCGGCAAATACAACAGGTTTCTTTTGCGTCTTTCTACAGACCACACACAAACACGCCATCTCACAACTGGTATATAGCTACCACACCTAAATTCGCGGTGTTCGTGCACTTCGCGGTTGCGGTGTCCAAAAAGTCTTCAACACTGGCAATTACGCATACTGACACCCTTTAAGTGAATTAATCTGAATTTGGGTCGAATATTCAGCTACCCCACTTTAGTAAGTAAGAGGTTGGAAAAAGCATGTGGGGCGACTCAATAGGGTGCCGCGGCTCTAGCAACTCTAGTTCCTTTCCATACTTTTCTATCCGCTGGCCTAACGTTCATACAACATGGAGTATGTGAAAGCGACTCGCATACCCTCCATACTGAGGTGCACCTCTCGCTTGCTCTCAAGTACAGTGACGTGAATTTTACCAACCGGTTAACATACGCAAGTCTGCCCTCTCGAGGAGGTTCTGCAGAGTTATGCCTATATCCAGCTGGAGGACAGTCCTGAAAATACAGTTGCTTCTGTTTGATTGCACCATCTACAGCGCAAAACAGGTGTACAGAATAGCCAAGTTTACCGTCTGTCACAAACATTGTTCACTTAGTATGGGTTCATCTGAACCACCTGTTTTGTGAACAGATTACAACGGATTACAATGTGTATGGTTATTCGCCTTAAGGTGAGCTTTGATTAGTTCATTAGGACCTCACCTGAAAATAAGTGAATCTGCAGAGTTACCTATTCGCGGTACTGGAGTATTGGGAGTGACAACTCCCAACAACGTTGACTCATTGCTCGCATCACTTCACGTCGAACACCCATGACACCTATACAATCTTTCCTAGATTATTACATGATTCTCTCCATTTCTTCATGATTGGTAGATGAATTCGGTGGAGACAAATAATTCCGAGTCCAATATCTTTTCTTTCACGCACAGGCACAAGTTGTGTCGGCGTTCGAGCAAAGCTTGAACAGCATGTCCCAGCGTCTGCAGACACTGACCCACACGACAGCGAAGAAGGTAAGTTCACTTTGTACTACAGTTAATGTGAGAACCCGTCTGTTTGGTAGTCCTCACATATGCGTTAAATGTTACATTTGTAATGAACGCTTCTTGGAGCCACTGGCTAAGTAGTGGGTCCGATCTAGTGGTGCCGTCTGTTAGTGGGGACTGACCACTGCTTTGATAGACCACCCGATGTTGTTAAACTTTAAGCATCATATTGATATCTGGTTATCTGACGGATGTTGCTGCTCTCCTTGTTGTCCTTTGTTGTCACCACTGCTGGTTCCAAACTTATGAACAATTATCCGAACAACACAGAGTATGCACCTGGGACCATGGTTGGCATAGCGAAATCTTCGAGTCTGATTCCAGCTTTGAGTAGAAATGTCGGAGATAACTAACATCATATCAGCAGTGGGGACAACAGTGAGTTGATGGGTCTCCGCAACATGTGAAAAGTGCCAAAGGCCCACCTTATTAAGTGAGAATTGCTAATTCTGTCATTGATTTGCTATTATTTGCTTGCAGTCAAATAATAGCACAATTTCACACCCACTACTTTTGCTTCTGACTGAACGATTGCAATTGTACACTTGTTCACACACTTGTGTATGAGCACGTCACGCGGCCGGGGGATGGCACAGCTTTCACGTGGAGTTATACACGTGCCAACGCTTCCTTTTTATTGAGATATACTCCTTCAGTAAATCCACCTGTACACTTGATTCCCCCTTAATCTCGTCCCAACGGATTCAGTTCTCAAGTTGTAGAAAGAAAGAGTATAGAGAAAATTGGATTGTTATCAGGATGCCTGTGAGGATTGAAGGTCGTGAGCTACCTAATAGGATGTGACGAAGCACATGAAGACAATGTGTTTTGACAATGTACTCAGAGACAGCGGGAAATAAGACCAATCGTAACTTCCAATACATGTGTAAATCTCTAGCTTCGAATACCTTTAGAGAGCTGCTGGCATTCACAGGAGTACGGCATAAGTTATGACATCCAAGTGCGTTACACAGCGCTGCCGTTTGTAGTTCATCTTCACTGAAACAACTCAACGCAGTACGGCTGGCTGTGCGAACAGGCCAACCTCCCCCGTGGTGCTATTACAACTCGCGAAAAACAGGAAAAAGAGGAAGAATGTCACTTACTAGGGTAGTAGAGATACAATAATAAGCTAACTTTCTTAGCACAAAAAAGCTGTGTGTAGCCGAGCACAGACCACGTGAGATGCTTGACTGAAGTACGTTGGTACGTCCGGAAAATAAGAGATCATTACAATGCAGTAAAACATAAGTAAAATATACATGGAGGGAGACACGCAGGGTGACCAGCCGGTGATTCACCGATCTTCTTCTCATGCTTTACTACCATTAGATTTGAGTTGAAGTTCATCACATCGAGACTCAGTCAAACAGCCATCATACACTCGGAAAAGCATTGTACGGCCATTTCATTCTTTCGGGAGGCGTCAGTTGTGAGCATTCCATCTAGCCCCTGTGGGGACCTGTAAGGTTAGATTTTTCACTACATACATATGAAACACAAGGGTAGTAGTGGAAAATGTCAAAATCTGGTGAAAGTTACAGTGGCACCTCTGAATGAGGAAATGGTATATGTCATTCCAATTGGTGGGTGTTTCGAATGACAGCGAATAGGACTAGCTACAAGCTGTATCGCAGTGGTAGGCTCATTGTCGGATTATCACGATTTGGTACACTCTTTCGGTGCGACTGACAAACTTCGGTTATGTGTAGAAAGTGGTATCTATCAATTTAACTGGTGCCAATAGGAACGAGGTGCCGTGTTGAAAACTCCGTTCAGTTATAGCACGTTCATAACACTTGTCCGGAAACAGCACGAAGAATCACATATCGCTTACCTTTCCAAGTTATTTATTTGCGAGATAGTCTACACTTTGTCTGCTATCCTTTTTGACAGGATTCAGAATTACACACCTTACGATCGACGATAGAGGCGTTGCGCACTCAGTCCGGACTTGGCTTCTCCAAATTGCTCCATGCCAAAGTGGGCAGATCCCTGGAAGAAAAGTCGGACGAGAAATATCCGGAGACGGAGCAGGCGAGCCACCCAATTTCTGGCACATCCAGTTTGAGCCTAAACCAGCAAGACGTCGCTTCGTCGGGACGTCTATCCCCGGTGAATCAGTCGTCGTATTCGGCCGAGTCGTCACCCAAAAAAACTCCGCTCACCGACACGAAATCGATCCCAGTGATTGGCTTAAAAAAGAATAGCTGGGTGAGTGATACCACATGCGTTTCGCAGCTTCCAGTAAGAATCTTCATTCAAGAGTGGATGAATAGGGTACGCTTAATTTCATGCTATTTCCAATGCCCCGAGCACCTTTACCCATAGTTTCGATGTTTATTTCACCTAGCGCGCATAAAATATGCAACTTCAGCCCAGACACCCGCTTCATGTATGTCAGTTAGCAGTAAGTGTGTGATGCACTTGGTCACAACGGAACCTGGTGCGGAGTGTGAGACCAACTGCGACATCTAGTCCTATCTACCCGAACAGTTCGCCGCAAATTTAGCACTTTGACACACTCGTTGTGTTATTATCTTAGTGGGCCGGAGAATTTGGGCTTTGACTAGTTCCGCGATCTGTGGGAAGCATGGTACTGAATGGTTTCTTCCTGGATCGCTCTACTACTCTGCACTGATACTAGAATGCTTAGCACGACTGTGTTAATCCAAACAAAAAGGAACTGATCACGCAAGCGCATGCTTTCTGATTTATCTTCCTCGCTAATCACTGCAGTGAGCACTTCCTCAGCTTGACAGGATATCAAGCGGCTACGCAATCATGGTAAAACGAATCGGCGACTCCGTTGGATCCTGGAACAGTACGTGAACCTGTTAGTGTAAGGGTCAAACACGACTTAGGTAAGAAATTCCAGTGCTCAGTAGTGGAACATATAGCTATTCACAACTCAGTTTGACAATCCAGTCCCTTCAACCGAAGGCGCCTGTCTGGTTTGTTGAAGGACACAGCATTAGCTTGTTCTAATCTTATCGCTGGGGCCAATTACTGTGACTTGAAGTGTATTCTAACGCAATGTAGACAGCACCGACTAATTCATGTCAAATTTGCTTGGGTACGATTACATCATGGCGTCACAAACAACGGGTGTACTCAATTGTGTGGTGTTTAAAGTGTCCGCCAGTCGCTATCCGACATGTCAGTGTATGAACGGCACGCGACACGCGAGTTCACACAGTTGCTGCTGAATTGGTGAGATGAACAGCCCGTGGCTCATTTAGGTTCTTGTGGTTAACTCGTCGGAGCTGCTCATACACAACAAAGAAACGATCACTGCGGACCCGCAACAAGCGTGAAATGTAAAGCTTCGCTTATGGTTCACATTATGAAGCAAATTTAGAAGACTGATTGTGGGGTTGAGAGAGCACGAATAGGATCTTGTTCCAATGAATTGGATTCTGCGAGCAAGGCAGATTCATGATCAGATGCCCAAGATTAGTATCATATTGGAATGAGATACATTCCCATTTGAAAAGTGCGCTAAGAAGACGAAAGCTGGTGGATGCATGCATTTCGTATTCTCTCCGCAGTTCCATTATGTTAATGGCACTGAGAAGGGAATACGAAATGCAATCATATACTTAAATATGGGTGCGACCAGATAATTCATAGTTGTGAAGTGAGTGATGGAATTTCCGCCCCTATGTCCATCACGCACTTCGCACCCCATAAATATTTGAGCACACTCATATTTAGGAATATAGTTGCATACCGGTTACTGTTGATGGCACTGAGGAGGGAATACGAAATGCATGCATCTACCAGCTTTCGTCTTCTTATCGCACTTTTCAAACTGGTAAAGGGGACTAAATGCTTTACATTCTTATTGACTGTGTATACACCAATAAACTGTGGTTAAAGATTACCAACGAAAACCCATTGATAGTATAGAGGAAGTAGTTGTTTCTCATTAGTGAGTGTCTTACCGCACTCAACTAATTCACGCATGCGTTACCAGTCTGCTGATACTTGCGTCATCAGTAGCCCACGAATAAAACTAACGAGACACCTTTTGTAAACACATGCTGCATTTTAGAAGGCTTGGTGAGTGACAGCAACACTACGACTTCTGCGATATCCCGGTGGGTAATTAAACCTATTGCAAGAATACGTTTACCACTACTTCATTTGTGAGCACGGTTGTTCGGTTACACGAGAAATATACATATTATTATTGTTATTATTGTTATTACTATCATTCACTACCACCTATGCCCTATCATCATCTTCCAATGAGTTAGAAATTTAGGCGCAGCCCAGTAGCTCCCTGACACCGACGTTTGTCCGCTCGCTTCCACGATACCAAGGCTCCTTCACCATTGGCGCACAAACAACCCCAGTGAAATTAGAGGATTCACGTGTTTGACACGCGGGCAATGGATCCTCTTCTGTGGTTGGCACACTGGAACAGTGATTACTTTTTTATTTAGCTTTGAAAGGAATAATACGGCATGTGTCCTGACCAGAACTAGTAGTTTTATTTGGAGTTGTGACTTTCATTGACGTAATTCGCAGCGAGGTCGAAAATCTGGATCGTACCCAAATTGTGCGCTACCCATTATGATTTGGCTAAACGATAGACTTCGGTTCAGTTGATCATGCTAAACAAACTCACGACTGCTATGATGGCGATAACTTGTTAGATCGAGGTTACAACGGCACCCTATGCAGTATAGTGAGTTACGTGGCTCTGAGAGAGGAAGCACGTTGATCGAGCGTCCCTTAGTGACGTTGCCCACCTTGAAAGCACGACTATCGCGATGGCTGGCCATACGACCCTAAAAATTCGGGGAATGCATGCTGCCACTAAGTCACAGCTGGAGGAAAGGCTCTCTAAATCCGCCCTAGGATGTGAGTCACCTGACGATCTAACGATAGGTAAGTCTTGTCCGTAATGACCCCGGTCAAGTAATCGCGGTAAATAAAGGGATACCGATGTAATCAAATGTGTTACCAAACCTCCTTATAGTGATTGTCCATACCGTAATGTGAAATATGCTCGGAACTGACCCGATAAATCATAATTTCAGAAAGTCATGAAACGATTGCCATGATTGTGGGGCAGATTTTCCTTCTTACCGTTATAGCTTCCCCAGTCTAAGTGAAGTAGTGCGACTGACACGTCATGTATCATTAGTTGGAATGACAATCATGACGACCGAGAGGTATGAATACGACAGTCTGGCTTCTGTTAGAAAAATATAGGAACAGGAAAATTTATTCCTAGTATTAACGCTAGGTGAAAATTATTCGTCCTAAACACTGAGAATATTCGACATGGCTTATAAACATTATCAGATTTCAGCATCCAAGAAAACCGAAACTTGCACCAGCAGAAAGAGTCACATTGAAGGCACTAATGGGAGTCTTTGGTGTTATCATAACGACAGGCAGTTAGGGCAAGACCACAGTACTAGTAAACAGGTCGGATTGTTTTAAAGAATAGTGCAACACCTAGAAGCAGAACCATACAAAGTGACGGAACAGAACATCCTTGCTGACTAAGAGTCAGATCGAGGTTGGTAACAGTTAGAAAAATTTGAGGTGTAATCCAACCTCGGGTTAATGATATAAAACAGAAGTTTCAGTCTTCCGCCGAGGACCAGTGGACACCCGAACTTAGCCAAGCCCGATGTTTCCACTCGTTTGGCTGGCACACAAACTGCCCAGATACCTAGCAAGCTCGTTTCAACCTATAAAAAGTAAACAAACACGTTTGTAACTAACTTTTCTGAGTTTGTGCGGAACATGTCCGTTCTTGCCAAGGAGTCAAATGAAATGCTGCTAATTCTATGCTAACTCAGGCTTCACGATTGCGACCAAAGGTGGCGCGCTAGGGATAGCAAAACGTACTCTAACTCAGGATATCAGAAGCCTGCGAATTTAACGATAACTTATATAACCAAAGAATTGGCATGTCCTATTTCATGTTCCACTTGAGACCGTATACTTGGGAATAAATTTTTACCATCACGTCACCAATAGCTCCCGTTTTGGTCACTTTGTGCATAGGCATGGCTGGAACGCGATTACAGACAAAATGTATCAGCTAACCAAAACCTTATGGTGCTACGTCAATAATACTTATGAAGAGAAGATGGAATAAGAGAGGGCAGTTTCTTAACCGATTGAACTGCGTTATCGAGACTACATGCTTCACTGTGTGGTTGGAGTCATGTGTAGATGCACCGCCATTTAATGACAGCATAGTTCGCAAGGTTGGAGAAGGTCTGGAAACTCCCACATATCATAGACCGGATCCAAATGGATCGTTTCATTACAGTTTGGATCACCCGAAAATCTTCGTGCTGCGATCGTTTCAATACTATTACCCATGACCCAGTCCATGTGCATTGACAAGAAGAGCAGGAAGACAGATCAAGCGATGGCGGTAAGCAAATCATTGGATATCGGAATCTCGAGATAGCTTTAGAGGTTCTTAGGCCTGAGTCGGCACAAATCACGGAGTCGATTATGAGAGAAATGGCAATGAAACAATGGTATATAACGGACAAAATAATGTATCCTTAACAAGTCCCATAGGATGGTTGAGCTGAGAATGACCAAAGCGATGAAATGTGAGTCGGTAACTTCGGGTGCGCGCTGTCGAGCTCATCTTACATCGGTCGTCGTGATAGTCATTTCAGCTTTCTATGAGTGGTACACCTGAGCAGCCGCAGTTCCGTGTCGAAGGCGTAACATTACCAACAAAATATACCATAACGCCATATTCTTATCCAAAACTGTTTTCCTCCTTTAGCCTAAAAACGATTTTAGACACATGTATTTTATCACCGAACAGCAGCGGAAGAAAGAGTGTATTTTGTTGTTCAGTAGTGTCACTTTTGTTGATCTCACTCCAGTTTTTACCTCGGTTGTTTACGAAAACACACTTCAAACTGTTTCATTACTATCTTAAAATTAGAAGTCGGTTAATTCCAGACCTCAGCCAGCTGGTCGGTCGGCATGCACGTGGTGCACTTACGGATTGACCAAACACCGCGCACGCTCATCTCTTCGGGATGTGGTGGAATTTGCGGCGAAAACGCCTTGTGCTCCCCTAATCAAGTTAATAGCACGCGGCTCATAACACCTAACACAGCATCACAAACAGGCAGCCGTGTGCCAAAAACCGGCCGCGTCTGGTTCACAGAAGACACCGGTCGATTTTCGTGCTTGTTATGGTGGGATCTGCAGCACAACAATAACTGCTGTCGTTGTATCATTATTCCAGAAAACTAATCGGAATAAAAGGGAATCGAAAATACACTAGCCTGACCTCTTGTTTGTGTCGCACCTTGACTACTGTTCAGATACTTCGCTGTTGTACATATTTGATTCTCAGTTTCGGTCTACCCTCCAAAAATTGTAAACCATTGGGCCGAGAATGATGATGCTTAGAATCCTATGAACTAAAAAGACAAGCTACCGTTTCCTGGTTATTCTGAGTTCGGGAGTTCGCCATCCACAAACTTTGTAGCGATGATCGTTGTTAATTCAACAACGTACAGTTGCGAATCGAAATGTTGTGCTGACAAATTGAGCATCGTTACTGTTGCTAACAATAGCACGCCGTAATGACAGGTTTGTATTAGCTTACTCCTTACATTCGATTAAAATCCCAAGCATGCTGCTCGCTGGTACCACAGTTACGTTCATCAATGCCATCAGATTGCCATGGGGGTTCAGGGCGATCCGGTTGGTGATGTGGGTGTTGCACACACAAATACACGAGTCACATAACTATGCTCGGTTGCTGTAAGTCGATTGCACACCAAATGTTCATTTCCGCAGGCCATCGGTTTCCGAGAAAAAAATTGAAAGTGTTCCCCCAAGATCCACTGTTTCTAAACGGCGCTTTTTTGATTTCTGCCACTTAATGTCTACACTTTGCAGACGTTAGGTAAAGTACAACTGGTACTCTCTCTAATGAGATGGTTAAACGGGAGGAAACGGTGTTCCTTGGAATCATGCGTCACACTTATCGAAACATGCAACTTTGCATACCCTGTCGACGGAACAATGCTGCGCCAGTAGTATTGTACTCATTTAGTTTACCAGGGGGAGAGGTTAATACTGTTGTCATCATTGTGCGACATGTAATTGCAAGTTTGCTGTTGACTCGCCTTTTCAGCTCCATTGGTACAACACTTCGCGTCAGATTTCTGCTTCATACAACTGTCAGCATCAAGCCAACATCAATGCATGGCGGTAGGAGCATTACCTTTGACAGATTCGCAATAGCACGCCGCATTCTAGTTCAGCTCCGCATCAAAGTGGAATGCAATCTAACTTGCAATCCAGTCACTGATTGTTCACCACAGGTTTACCACAGGTCACTTTCCCTCCTCTCCCCGATCTTCGCTCAATAATTTGGCGGCTTTCGCGCTTTGCTTGAGCGATCCTTCCCACCAGATAATTAACCGTTCCAAGACCCTCATGCTGGTAATAAACAATACGCAACTTGGAGTTTTTACAAGATCCGTTGAAATCGGTGGTCTGTTCCAAAATCCATCTAACCCGAAACCAATTTGCTGATCACGGTGGCGTCGAGGGGATCTAGCAGATGGAGCGAATATCATTGACACCGCTTTCATAGCCGTTTGGGGTGTCTATACAACAAATGCCGGCATTGTACATTTGATGCGTAGCTTAACACAGTTGGCTAATCGTGCCGTTCCCTTAGTACACTGTCTGCCGCCGCCGTTCCAAGGAAGCGCTAGATGTACTTGTCATCATTGTGGTTTTTAGCTGTGAGTTTGCGTCTTCTGAACCTTCACCACAACCGTGTATGATTGCCAACGCTCAGTTAACGTTACTTAGTTAGTCACAATACGGATTTGAAAGTGGCCGGAATGCCACAACACTAGCTGTTAGTATGATGAACAACAACACAAGTGGACGGAGAGAATAAAATTCTAATAGCAACCAAAATGTAATCAAACTAGAATCCGGAAAATTTGCACTAATATGATGATAAGGTCAACCACAGAACACAGAATACTAAATGTGCTAGCTTCAATAGCCGGAGGATTTTCACTTGGGAAAGATTTTTCTACTAATACGCCTAGCCTATGATCATAGGCTTTGCTTTGTTGGCCGGCTAGTGTCCCCACTAGTCAGTAACCATTGTAAAGGTTTCTGGTGCCCAAGTGAACTGTGGCACTGATGCTGATGATCTATTGCACCGGTTGACTACAGCTGCACTCGATTTCCACCTCCGTCATTAGGTGCGTTCCTTCTAGATTAGGTGCGATGACCACGTTCAAGTGTATTCTCCAGCCAAGGATGTCATGAAACAGAAGCAACGCTGTGCTTATTCTGCACGGATGGTGTGCTGGACGTTGATATAGGGATTTTTCTAGTATTCACACGTGTCCTGGTATCCTTAGACAGCAGAACTGTTTGGTTTTCTCGTGGTGACCAGAAGTAGCAATGTGCCAAACGCTCTAGCTGTTGGTGCAGTGACTCGGGGAGATTGTCAAAGTAGGCTGCACACATACTCAAAACTTACATAAAAACAGTATCAAGTTTCACCAAACTAGCACCATTGTGGCCTTCTCACTGTTTAATGACAGAGGAGAGAGCCTGCCAGCGCGTAAAGAATGTAATGTGACTACGGGACTCACTTGTAGTGGTACTTCACTGACGAACAACGGAGATCGAGTTCCAGTTCGATCGATCCCTGACCTCGGTGTCTTGAAAGCATCCCGCTGTATGCACTGTATGGCCAGGACAAGATTAGGAGGCAGCGACAGTGGGTGTGTGATCTGTAGGCTATCCTCCTCAGATCCAGAACCCTACTGCACATTTTCAAGATGTCTAGACGTATCCATAGATTCCATCCCTTTATCTGGCACTCTCTGGCATCAACCTCAACTCAGTTGCGTATGCGGCTCACCTTTGGGTACCCATGGGTCGTTTTTCTGATTGAAACAGCATCTGAGTAAGTCAACCATACTAATATAGCCGATGGTTGCCGAAAGCCCATATACAGTTTGCGTTTCTGCATAACTTTTAGTTCCGCGCTTCCATTGGCAAAGCATTCCGAAAAAGATCACCTGCGACGTCCTCTGTGAATTGCGTCACCTCACCCGCTTCGCCGCAACAAACACATGGATCTGTGGATGCACAAATTCCCAGCGACCACCTCCACTCAGTCACGGGTGTTGGGACCATGTGTTCTCGGTTTCCGCTAGAAGCGACGACACCAAACCAATGGTCTAAACCGGATCCCACACCGATTATGGGCCAACCGATTGGTCGACTCAACGGCCTCTCTCCATCTGTTTCATCCACATCTTCCTCCTCCACGAGTGGTAGTAGATGGAACCATGAAGTAAACGCAGCTGTTTGGCCTACCAATAACGCCTGCAGCTCTTACTGCTCGACGGGTGAGTTTTTTCCGTTGTGGCGTATGTATCACCAGCGTTCCCGGATGTGCAAATCATTTACACTATGCACGCCGCCATCTCGCCACTGGGGGTTTAGGGGTATTACATCGCAAATCCGTGCTGACTGGTAAGCCACTGAATCAATATGATCGCATGATATGAGATTTGACACCCTTAGTTCTCCTCCACAGAAGTTATCACTAAGGTCTAATACAACTTGTTGCGTCCCTTGTAAACTTAGAATCTCTTCTTCCTTTTGAGTATGTTGTCTCCAGTGAACTGTAGATAAAACTCTGGAGAACAGCCAAGAAATATTTCCGATCTGTCAACTAAAGTGCAGCTCAGATGATGCGGAAATTCCATGTAGTATCATAACCCGAATCATCTTTAAGAATGTCAAGACACCTGTATTTCCTTGATGCGTGACTTAAGCAATGCAATGCTCGTGTTCTATCGGATGTGGACTTTGGAGTTAAACCCGCGGCCGTTGAAAATTGTTCACTGTCGATTTCCGATGGTCGGAGGTGCACTAGTGACTGGCTTATCTGCGATTAGAAGTTTGCTGAATAAAAGACTACACGTGGCCCGCTCAGCCATCGCTCTCAAGAACTATGGGCGCAAAGCATAGGTATAATCATCATGATCATCAATACAGCTTAGCCGACGGTGAGAAATATATCTCGACTAGTGTGTTGCAATACAAAATGGTAGGACATTAAGCAATATAGACTTAAAATTTACAAAAGGAACCTAATGCCAAAATAACATTTGTGGTTGTTGTTGGAGGGAAGTTAAAATGAAGGGGAGGGACAAAGAGGCTCACAACACAAACGCCATGTCGGCTAGTGTAGCCAACCAAATGTGTTCATGATCCTTCGGTCCCAAGCCAGAGAGTCGGGAAACACCAGACGACGCTAACTTCGAAGTGAGGGACTTGATTACTATTGACCAAGAGGTTCATTCGACAATCACTGGAAGATCGCAGTCTATTATTATGATTCGTATTCTTTGGCAGCGACTTTCACAAAGCAGTACTTATAGTGCATATTCTCAGTTTCACGAGACGCCTTTTCGGAGCGATCAATTTTTTAAACAACAGTTTCATCTTGTTATGCGCAGGATGGTCTATGTGCTAGGCAGAAATTGGATTCACATTTTATCAGTGATCGTCCTCCATCTCAATACTACAAAGTGAAATAGATCACTTTGCGACACTCGACAAAGAATGCTGTACTCCAACGGAAGAATGTTTTCCTTTCGTAGGGATGAGAGGTGAATAGCGATGGTGTGACGAGAAGGAGAACATTAACATCTCGATTTCATAATTACGGAATATATACTCTAACTTGGGCAAAACATTTTTAAGCATATTGTTCCACTTTGTGGCCCGTACAATCAGAATAGGAGACGGTGGTTGACATCATCCAATCTGCTCAGACATTTTGCTTATCTGACAGCTAGACGTACGCGAGTGAAAGGAAAAATGAAAATGAAATGTGGAAAATAAGGATGAAGATGTAGGGAGTAGAATCGGTTAGCTTCACCTTGCTGCCTGACATGTTTGCACGAAAGCTCCGAAGGTGACCTAATCGCGTATAAAACGAGCTCCTGAAAATGTGAATGAAAGTAGACCGATTCAAGCAGTATTTATTTCCCAGCTCACATATTTCACTATGACTGCAAGATAGTTATGTCTGAGTAAGTAGAACATGACTAAGGGAGACAAAAAGAATCGATTAATCTCACACTTATTGCTGTGCTTGTGAGTAACGAAGTAAAGAGGTTCAGGTGACGAGGAGTGAAAGGGTTTGTCGACCGTTCATCCGCCCTTCATAATGCTCTTTTCCTGGAGGGCCTGGCCAACTAAAAACCTATTTAGGTGGGGCGTTTTGTGCTTACCTGTAACCACATATCTATATCTCGCCTAGTTCTTAAAGAATTTTTCCCTTACAGTTGAAACACGATATTGTTCTTACGTAGTATACTATCAGGTAGTTAATAACTGCGCTTTTTTAACGCTGGTTGCGATTCGCAGGCCGTTATTTCAACCGGGAGGAAGTTTCAGATTTCTGTGTATCTTTAGGATTTAGTCTTTTCTCCGAGCTGAACAATTTCGTTACAGACCTTTCATCATCAACCGAGGTGACTTCGTCAGTGCGTAGTAGGCAAAATTGATTTAGGTATAATCGTCTTTGGGAATTCGTTTTCGTTTGAACAACGGATCCGAGTACTTGGTATTCCTAACTGCGTGTCAACCTTCTTGTTTAGAGTGAATAGTAATATTTGGTACAGTCGTTTTAATTGTGGCATCTTACAACCCTCAGCGTAGTTTACGTTGGACGCATGCACATTCTCTAGGGAGCTGCGGCCGCGTTTCTTGCCGCTTAGAAAACGATCGAGCAGTGTTCTAGCACAAGGCGAACGCAGGCTTTAACCCATTTGTTTCCGGAATGCTTGTTTAAAGACACTTGCTAAAATGTGGTTTGAAGATTGAAGTAATCAAAACAAACTTGGATTAGCCAAAATGCTTTCACAATAATTGGAATCAGTGTCTTTTCTGAAGGTGAAATAAAAACAATAAATAGTACATTAATGCAATGCTTTAAACCACATAGCAAATGGTCTCCTTAAAAAATACAGCAACGAAATATGGGTTAAACAAACGCAACTTTACAATCACGTATCGCGAATGATTTTCAAACGAGTATTTGTAGTACGTATAGAAGTTGGAATAACGTAGGATTCCAGGCAATGCTAGCTTCGCAATACAATAAGAAGCCCAACCGAGTTCTAATTTCGAAATTTGCAGTCTCTACTATTCCGTATCTGTCATGTCATGAGTCGCATCGGTGTGGAGCATTTCTGCAATTTAAACAAACGATCACTGTCAACAAGCTCCACGCTGCTCAACACCTAATGACAGATCGGGGCAAAATGGCTATTTATCTCATCTTGTTACTGCTGGTGGAAGCGAGCTGATTCAGTATGGACATGACAAACCAGTATATTATCAACTTTGGTCTTGTGGAAAATTGAAACAGAATTCTACGTTTGTATATGCTTATATTCATTGACAAGATAATCACCGAAGTAAGTCATCGTGAAACAAGCCTAGCTGGTAATTGACAAAAGAAGACCCTTAAATCAATATGAGGAACGCCTCCGTCAGCACTTCGCCCGAGCATGCTCAACCACTTCCATTACACAACACAATGAATGTGTGGCAATGACATGCGTTTACCATAAATGTTGACAAAAGTGCAACACACACAAATATCTGCATACATGCCAACTCCACATGCAGGAGGGATCTCTCCCCAATCTGATGCTGGATGACAACTTATGTGAAACACAACTGTAAATCTGTAGGTCTGTCCCTATGCGTCGGTGGTCTCTCACACCTTCGAGAAAACCAAGGTTTATTTCTTTACTTATAAAACTGAAGCATATTCAATTCGGTCGATGCTGACATCGTGTATCCATGCATGTGCTGTTGGGCATCTTGGTTGGAGACCGCAAACTTGTCCCGCCTCTTGATACACCACGATGCGCGAATTTGTTTAACATTCCACCAATTTTCCAAATTACCAAGCATGCATTCAAAATGATTTTTCGGTTTATGCATCAAAGCATTCGTAGGTTACCTGATGGGGAATCTCTGGATGCCTTTGCAACCTTCAATCAACCGTAACTTTTGGCTGCCGGTCAATTTAAATGCGCAGCTGACGCTGCAATGTGTGTCACGGCAACTCTTGCGGAATACGGCTGTTTGCAATATCATCGTCCGCGAAGCGTCGCTCACATGTAACTACACCATTGATTTAATGATGCAGATTCCCATCTAGTCGATGTTTGCTGACATGTCTTCGGGCATTTCACTGAATTCCTTGATGCCTCTTTCTTCAAATGCCTGACAACCGGCTGCGTCGTCCGCATTCATGAGAGGAGCGCCGGTATTTTGTTTGTTGTACCACGGTGTTCACGTAGCAAAATGATAGAGCAATGTCAAAAGAACAAGCGCAGAGTATGAGTTGTGTTGACCACAGCCAACTTCGTGTACCAATGTCATTGGAACTGCAAAATTATTTTACCGAACTCTATGTAGTAGGACACGGACGAGGAGATAGTAGTGACAGTGAAATCTCTTTACTCTATACTAAAAGTCTTCCTTTTAGGCTATTCTACTGATTTAGCTTCGCTCCTCAATAACATCCACGATAGTAAGGTTGGACGCGGACCCAAGCTAGATTAAGTCCAGAACAACTTCTTTCCCTATGTCAATTGCAGTACCCAGTCCATATCTTCTTTATACTTCTTACGGTTTTTCTCTCACAGATCCCCATCCAAGCCACGCAGACGTAGCAACTCATTTGGGCACGTTCCCACCCAGCAAAAGTGTTAGCTGCAGGAACTCGCGAGCCGGCGCACAGTCAGCCGTTGTCGCTCCCACGGAGCATAGTTTCGGCGCGGAAGCGCTCAGGAAACCAACAACTTCCGGTGTCTCATTCGCCCCTTCGAAAAAAGTCAACAATATGTAAGTGTTCCTACAGTGAAATCAATAACTGAATTTCTACTTTTGCGTTTACTTGCATGAGTCTCGTGTGTTCGAAGCAGCGTCCCATCACATAAGTAGTCAGCACTTTAGAAACTAATGGTCTGTGGCTGATTCTCTCTGCAGCCACCACCATTAAGGCCGAAAGTGATGCGGTTAATTTGCGTGTTTTTACATTGGTTCTACAGATAAATAAATTTTAAGACAAACTGCCTGGTCATTTGATGGACAATAGCGAAGTTACCACACCTGAACCTTAGTGAGCGTTACTGCGCATGTACACAGGTGCACTGATGCGTTGTCACTTCAGTCAGTAAGCGATGCAGTTGGTAAATCGGAATAACATAGAGGAGGCAATTTGGCGGTTTGGGTTAGGTTAGCCCACAGACCTCTTTGGAAATAAGAAAAGCAAGGGCAACTTATATCAAGCGTTGCATAAGTACGCACCAATATGGGAATAATTTAGTTTGTTCCAAAGAAATCAGTAGTTGAGTGTGGCTGACTGCATTCTCTTCCGGTGTTGCCTGTCACTGGGCCTGTGAACAGCTACATGATGCCCGTTCCTAATGAGGAGGGTCCACGTGTGGCTTACGTTGCACCACTGACGGCTCCATTGACACAATCCACATCCAGTGTAAACCCGAAGGAATAGGACCTTGAGGCATGTGTTTGGAAGCCACCATTGATTCAGAGCTGGTCAACGCTCCGTCAGCATGCACACCATTGGTATGAAGTTTGGGAGAGCATGAGCACCAGAGGCACACAAGGCCATGGTTAAGCAGTAGATTGATCCACGCTAGAATGAACCACCCTTTGGACCCAGCACTGTCACGGAGACTGTGCACCTCGTCTCCTCTAGCAATGATTAACAGTCTTCTGGAGCCAATAATGGCAATGGCGATTTTCGGCTGGCAAGCACTTGTCAGTCTTCGCGTCAAAAACACGAAAGTTGGGACACCAATCATAAGCAGCACACGTGTTTCATCTGCCGCAGTAGTGGCCTGGATTAGTATATAAAAGGAAGCGGCGTCTTTTGCGACGCTTTCACTTACGAACTTAAGTTACTGGTTGCTTCTTTCATATTAGCTCCTGGGTGTCACAGTGCTGACTTACCAGACCGGCTCCGATGAGAAAATCATGGCTGCGTGTGCTACAATACCAGGTCAATGACATTGATGGGATGAGCTCAACTGGCATTTGCCGCTGGCATAATCGGCGTCTTCGTTTCCGATGCAACAATTGTTTTTCGTGTAGATGGGTAACTACATTCTTGAGATGGTTACTTCAGTGTCGGAGATCTAGTTTCATTCGTTTCTCATATCAGAAGTAAACACTAGTTTGTGATAAACTCTGCTCGTGTCCTGGAGCGTAGCTAAGGTTTGCTTACATTTTGCATCTTTGCACGCAGTTGGTCATAAAACACGTGTTTCGGTATTAAAGTCTCATTCGTACGGTGAAAATGTTCTAGCCACCTTAGATGCCGCATGCGGTCCAGTCTATTTATATCGCTGCGGTGGGTTGGTTCGGAGTCAGGTACCGCGTCACACCAGCGGATACTCAGAATCTGATATAGGCATTAGTGATGGATTCTCTCCACATACGGATTTCATCGTACAGTGTCCACAGCTCACTGGCACAAAGAAGAACCAACAACACAATTTATCTGTACATCATCAGCTTGGTCCCAACTACCAAACGACGGTTTTCCTACTTTGATTTCCTGACAAACATCGACATGCGGGCGGGTAGCTCGCTGGTTTTCCTCTGGTCTATTAACATCGTGCTCCCAAGATGGAAATCGTTCGTACTTTTACTGAGATTCCATCAACGATCGTCATTTTCGGGTAGCGCATGGATTCCATTCCAAGAGATAATGAGTCCGAACTTGGCCATGGTCAAAGCAGAGGCCTTCGTAATATGTTGCAACTCATCCTCGAAGCGAGCGAATGCATTCTCTGGATGACTGGCTCCCCGTTCCAAAACGATGGATAATCAGCAAATAACTATCGGGCGCAGCCAGTTCGATAAGCTCATGAGTGACACGAAGTATAGTTTTGCATTTGGCTGAAGAAACTTCAACTATTACTAATGTGAGGTAAGCGCACCCCACGCTGGTCTCCAAGACGACGGATGTTCAACCTGGTCCACCCAGGCACATCCAACAAGGAACACAAGCAAACGACACCTGTATATTCATCCATATTATGTAGCTTGCCTATATTGGCGCCACTGAACAACAACAATGTTGAGATTTCCGCTTTCCAGAGATCCGGACTGCAATCATTTCAAAAGTAGTTGACACAGTAGCTTGTCAATAACTTGTCAGGATCTGTTGGTTGCAGGGCAGTGGGTGCTGGAGCCACTACATCAGATTGCAACCTAGTAGTGAACATTGCTCATATGAACAATTCATCTTCTGTAGTTTGTTTAACCAGTCGCCTCGAGTTACCAAGGTCTCATTGTTTCAACAGGTCGGTACTACTTCCGCTTAGCAATTAAATCCAGGGTAGGAGACGAATGCCATGTTGTTCATCGGACTGGCGCCGAGCTGCCCTCTCCTTCCCTCGTCTGTCCCACATGTGATTACGCGCCAACAGGATATGCTTAACGCACTGATACAGAATGCCGATGGCGCAGTAGCTCAGCTGTGCGCATAACGCAGTTCATTCAACGCTGCTTCCAAGTGCACTTAATCTAAGCGCTAATCCCATAAGCGTGCTAGGTGCAATGCCAATGATTTATACTGCTGGAAGAATTCGACTCTTTCATGTGCATGGAAACTCCTCCAGGGCTTTATGTACTCGTTCTGTATTGCCGTAACAAGGAGTGCGGGCTGTGTGAACCAATACCATGAGAGTTTGTATGCGATAGATTACGGATAAGTGGCGCGCCGGTAAATTTGTGGCTTTCTTCAAACGCAATACAGAGGAGAGAAACTGTGAGGTATGGGCTTACCATGCAGTTGGTGTGCTTTCATTTTATGATCGGTTGATTACTGCCGGACACAGCGAGATGGAACGCATGTGTACTCAATTAGTAGAATAAGGAACTAGGTGTTTGCCACTGGTGCGAGGTACTGCTGGACTAGTCCAGTAGTCATAACTTCAAAATTAAACATCAGCATCTGGACATGCTAGACGGAGTAGACACCCTAACGTCCACATGAGCATACATGCGTGTTCCCCTACGCAGATCTACTGAGGAAGGCTGTATTTTTACTCAAGGTTTAATTCCGGTGAGGTTGGGCTATGCTAGGTAATATCAGTGAGTGGCCAAATCGTTTTAGAGTACAACTAAAGGCTAAGCAGGATTGACTTGGGTCATAAAGGTGCCCTACAACTAGCTTGGAAGCGGGTTAAGCTCCTGTGACGTTCTAGTTAGCCACATTGCGTGACCCGCGTAAACCGATAGCCCTCCAGTTTAGCCTCAAGGCATGGATTGCGGTGTAGAACGAATTTGCGACCACCCAAGACTCACCCCTGTCAAAGACCTACTTCTACGTTGGTCAGCCTCATCGCCCGGCGTGGATCATTCGTGTGCTTGTCCACTTGACCATTTTCCGTTCTAACGCTACCTACCATGCCGTCCTTACTGGATGATGTAGTATCCGATTTCCAGTTCATCCATGCTCTATCTCGTTTTCACTCCTACACACAAGAACCCATATGTTCAGCCTTATGGACATTGCACAGTTCCCTTGATTTGGTTGACTGGTGGGACACTCACAGCCTGTACAGCTAGGTGTACCAGACCTAGCCGCAGCATGTTTCATTGGCGGACGCATACCTCTTACCATTGGCTCATTTGGATTTTTACCATAAGCCCCGTGCGTCTCACTTTGATTCGATTGTGTTCCTTCGTACGACTGAACTTACGGGTCGATCGTGAATCTGGGTGCGAATTGTTGACCTACTTGTGAGCATGGAAATCGTTAGGGTAATGTCTATTTTGATACGATGAATTTGTACAAATACACCGTTATCTCAAGTCCGGACTTGGTTTTTTGTTGAATATTCCGGTCGGATACGAGTGTCTTAAGCTTCCGAACGCTTCGTAGCGTTACAGGCTGTCAGAGTGTTTGGAGTGATTGGTGACCTGGTACTCCAGTGCACGATTACTCCGATGTACCGTGTGCATTTCTATCAAGTTCAGCTTAGGGTTAAATATTGCAGGTTGGACAAGCACCCCTGTCGTATTTCATCCAAAATATGAGAAGTAAATTAGCAAGCAGAGAATTGGGGACCATCTTGAAACCATCGTCGTGTGAATGGATTGCGACATGCGATCTCAAAATGAACCACTCTTCACCATGATGTGAAGCTCAGTATATTCGGTTACTGGAAACGTGGATGTTGGATATTATCAGCTCGAAACCCCACGACCGGCTGCGTACTCGTTTGTACAGGCAGCAGCCTTGCAAATCACACCTGCGACGTTGGATAATAGGCCGGAACCTTTACCCATTCTCATTGATCGATTAGACTAAGATTCACTTCAAGGCGAGTCGCGGTCCAGATTGAGATTGCGTGTCACTATTCACGCATATAATGTACAATGTATACCTCAAAATGATTCCTTCCAACGAGACAACGGTTGTTCGCGGTTAGGTGGCCCAGATGTAAGGCAAGTCACACACTGCAACAAATTGCTTTATATGCTCAATTTGGGTGACTGTTTAGCTGCAATAACACATGCCCTCGGCACTGTGGCGAAAGAAAAACGAAATACGAAAAAATACCATTAAAAACGTGATGCTTAAAGATATGGATGACATTATGTTGCAAATCGATTTGTTAGTTATTAAGTGACAGAGTTAGCGTCTAGCAATATACGCACTGAATATAGGATAACTGACTAGCGATACGCTTGCGTACGGACGTGTATCTCCTTTGCTCCTACCTGTTAAACGAAGTTGACAGAAATTCAGATAATAATTTATGAAGGGGTAGCTTACGTCGGTATCTTTAATGCCAGCTTTTCCA